AAAAAATTTTTTTAAAAAAAAGATTATAAAGTATGAACTATATTTCTAATATAATCTTTTCTTACCTCCGCCAATATCGTGACCACCAATGTCATGACCACCTCCAAAACCTCCTCCAAAACCACCACCACCTCCGTGTCCTCCTCCATGACCACCTCCGAAACCACCGCCCCCTCCGTAACCACCTCCGTGACCTCCTCCGTGACCTCCTCCAAAACCTCCACCATGGCCACCTCCAAAACCGCCTCCTATGTCTCCGGGACCGGAAACCTCTATATGATGATCATCACCTCCTCCACCACCTCCGCCTCCATGTCCGCCTCCACCGTGATCCTCATATTTTATGATTTTCTTTTCGTGATGTTGCACTATTTCTGGCAAATGTATCCTTATATGTACACTGAAATTTGAAAAGTATGCTAAATGAAGAACCATGCGTTCTTAATTAACACATCTCCTAATTAACACATTTCCATATGGGTAATTACAGGTATAAAGAATATTTCGTTTCTTTCACTCGTGTCTATATAAATTGTATGAATTATATTCTTTATTAAGTTAATTGATTTGAACGAATGTTCAAATTAATTTCGCATGAGCATTTAAACAAAATGATGGTGCAAGTTTGAAACATTAAAATTTTTTATATTATTTTTTATGAATAATTATTTGACTTTGGCAAGAAGAAAATTTTTCATTTTTATGTTTTTGAGTCACCAAATTTACTAATAAATTTTTATATGATTGGAAACTCACTGCTCGTGTCCGAAGGTTGCGAGGACTACTGATAGAATATTTGTTAGAATGAAGGCCCTTATCTGCAATTAAACGAATCTTCTTAATAATCTATAAATTTTTAAATTTCAAATATTATGGATGGATAATAAATACAATATTAAACGCACAATTAATAATTCAAAAACATCTTACATAATTCAATTATTGTTTTCTATTTATAAGAATTATTTATGAATATTCTTATATTACAAAAATTAAATGTGTAATTTTTTTTACACATTTATATGTGTAATTTAAAAATTTTCGATAGCTATATATGTACAGACATTGATATTTATATTAAATAGAAAATCTATATTTACAAAAAAAATAAAATATTTGGTTTAATAAAACTATATCTTGCAGTAAAAAAATAGTAAAATAAACTTGAAAAAAATTGTTAAAGCGATTAATTTTCTGTTATAATAAAAATATTATTAATTAAATTTTATTAAATAATTTATCAAAATTCTTTTTACAACAGTAAAAATATGAAAAATAACAATATACAATATTATATATAATTTTTAAATTATAATTATTAATTTGTAACTCTGAAATTTAATTATTGTAGCCGAAAGGAGTGCTTTTTCCATATATTATGTTTTGAGACATAAAAATTTTTAATTATAACAATTTTTTTCCAGTGTGGTACGAAACTGTCGTTTGATTTAGATGATAAAGAAGCCACTGTACAAAAATCACTTTCAGACATCGGCCGCACGCGAGTGCGGCCTCCTGTCTGTATTTCCTGTTTCCGATCTCTCGGTGAAACCTAAGTGGTTTTTATCCATTTTATTGTCTTACAGCATGTTTGAGTTCCATTCTGGTATCCAGGACGCGGCCTGCCGCAAGAAACCTTTTCCTTCCTCTTATCCCACGCACAGCTCACCACGGCGACCCGGTGTACACTGTCATATATCTGCGACCGCGGTCTTGTATATATACCTGTATATATACCAGACGAGAGGAAGTACCGGAAGGGACCGAGTGGGGATGAAATAAAGATCGCGGTACCACACCGGAGGTATCGTCGGAGGAACACACTCGAAAAGAAACCGAACGTATGACGTACGAAACTGGCGAGCATATCCCTCGCTATATACCTGTACATTGTACTTGTCTGCTGAGTACATTGTACTTGTCAGTGGATGGTGCCCGATGATACATACAAGCGCAAAATGCGTTTCTGCGAACGAGAAACGGCCGTGACCCACACAACTCGGTCCTAGAGAAATTCGCGTCTGAGCTTTCTCGATCTTGTCGGCATATACATACGATGGTATTGATAACACAGCACAATTAATTTCCTTGGCTAGGCCAAGTTTTTTCGTCGAACGAAAGCATGACGCGGAATCTTATTCGATTCCGCACTCAATGATGATTACGAAGTTGTATGACGTTATATTGACACTTTAGAAGAAGCATAATAATGGAAAAGCAAAAGATGAATTTTCCTTTCATTGTATATTTCGATCATTTTATTTTTACGCGAACAAAAAATTGCACTTGTAGATTAATTAACGCTTTAATCAGAAACACGCGATTGCGGTTGGCGGTAAGTGCGTCGCAACGATGACATCGATCGATTTATTTGATTTATGAGCTTCGTACAATAAGCCGATAGATAAACATAAGTATTATATCGGGCCAGAACTATTACTGCTGCATCGGTTATTCCCACTTTCCCCGATTTCCAGAATAAAATAAGTTAGAAAATAAGATAGGCAACGCATGTCTCTTTAAAGGCTCTTCTTAAATATTTCAAGCATGAAAGAAATGTATACTTTTGCTTTTCTGTAAAAAATATATGCCTTAAATATAAAGATGCCTTATTGATTTTTATATTGATTCTATTTTTATATTTTAAAATAAATCACATTCTTTGAATTCTTTGGCATACGAATAATATATAAATTGTATGACATTAACATTCTCGTGAATAATCTATACTATTTATAATATATTCATGAAATGTTTAATGTTAATCGAATGAAAGAAAAATACGTTTATTCTTCTCTATTAAATTCTTTCTCTCCAACACTTTTACGCACGTAATAATATTCAATTTGATTTAATCCAGCTAATTTAATTATCATTTATCGCATTATTACGCGTGTCGAGCGCGAAGGAATTAATTGTATCTTTAGTTTGAGCAAGAAATTGCTCTGATTATACAGGTTTTAATCGATCGCAGATACTCGCACACACCGCGAACTAGCACAAACGCGCACGTAACGTATAATCGATATGTTAAGTATAACATAGGTACAAAAACTTTGAAAGTAATTTAATTTCTATTCTGACATAATATAGCTTCTTAGAAATCCTACAGTTCCATTACATTGACATTATGTTTTAAGCTTAATTAATTGAATAATTCTGAATGAATATAATTCTCTTTTTATTAATTACAAAATATTTTAAAGATACGATTGTTATTTAAGTTTTTAAAATTTTTTAAATTATGTTCAAACTATTTTATGTTTTAATTTAATTCAAAATATTCTTTTTGGAACAAAATTTATTACTTAATTGTTTGCTTCAGTTTCAATATCGAAACTTCATACTTGAAAAAATGCTCGATGCTTTTTAAATATTACATGTTAAATAAAATTCTACTAAATTAAGATTTATAAGAAAAAAGTAAATTTAAAAATTATACTTTATTTTATTGATTTTTTTGCTGATAAAGTAAATTAATATAGGATATTTAATTCTTTTTAATAAATTATTCACTTTCTATTTTACAATTAATTAGATGAAAATTGAAAAAAATCTCTCAGAAAGATCTCCCCTATTAAATTGAAAAAAATCTCCCAGAAAAATCTCCCCTATTAAATTGGCGTCATTAATGTAGGATTAATGAGTTCGCAAGAACAAAAGAAACAAATTCAATCCAATTTAAGCTTCTACTTTCTTAAATCTCTACACTCCGTCGTGTATGAACAGTTTATTGCTCATTATACAATATATGCGGGTGTAAATTCACAACAATAAAATAACAAGTATACTCGAACATCTCGCTATTTAATCCCCCCTGGGAGATCTTTGCCAATGCAACCATGTGAAAGCATAGAATGACGATTTACCTCGCATTTTTTACCAGCGTTAATTACTGCGGCTGATTTCTATATAAGGTGTCCAAAGTATTCAAGCTACATTTACACTCGATCTTTTTATCTATTTAAGCTTAATTTATCTTTAACAAAAATATATATAATGTACAGTCTTTAAATTCATTCAATCATTTCTACATTAAAAACCGAAACATTTTCTGAAAAGTTGAACTTTGAAAGTACAAATTAATGATATAATTTAATCAATTTTGAACTGTCCTCAACAAGCCTAATTTAAAAATTAATTGCATAAATATTTAGTCTATATTTTTTAATTTAGAATATTTATTTAATGTTATTTCTCTAAATTTATTTCTCTAAATATGTTTTAAAAATATTTGTGAAAATATTTATATTTTAATATAAAAGTTTTTTTAAAATTTGAAAATAAACGGGTTATCTTAGCAAAAAAATTACACGATTTCTTGGCAAAAAATTAATTTAGAAATATATTTAGATGGCTAAAATAATTTTATCTCTGTATTATTTTAATGACATTATTTTAATAAAAGTTTTCCTTCGACTTTTACTAAAGAAAGCTCGACAAAAAAAATAACGATCAAAAAATCTAGCAAATAAAAAGTGAGTTATGAGATAGTTTATGACACCCGATATAAAAATCGCGACGTGCGATTCTGCAGTCATGCGTATCTGCCTCGTTAATGGATCTCATACACGTACAAACATATCGCATATAGACACTGCCGAGTAACAAAATAGAAAGTAGCAGGAACACGCGGGAGGCAGGATAGGGCTCAGGGAAAGGGAGAGTAAGTGAAAATAAGGGGATGAGAGCGGGACGGAGCCTGGTGGAACGGGAAGAGACGGAAACACGCATACCGCGTCGCACCGAGAAAGACAGCTTACCCGTGGCGGAAAATCGTGAGAGGCTCTCCCGCTATTGTGCCGCTCCTTATCCTTTCACTCTTTTCCCTTATCGTGTTCAAGCGGTAGACGGTAAATTCCACGACGAAGCGTGGCCGTCAGCCGCGACGAAACACTTGCGGACTTCCTTCTGCCGCGGATTGCTGGCCTTGATTCACAAACTGGCATTGACACGGTATCTCCATTATATCATCAATTCAATGAAACGTGTGCTTCCGTGATCCACGATTTTTTAGACGATAAAAAATATAAATACCCACTTTTTTGTAATCTTAACGAAACTCCTGGAATTTAACCTGGGGAGGTAGATTTGATTTAAAAAAAAAAAAGAGAAAGAAAGGAATAATTTAACAGACGAAAGAAACAGTTTTTCCCTTCATATTGAGTTTCAAAAGGTTAAATTAATCTCCAAAATTGAGATCCAAAGCCAAATGCTCGATGAAGAATATCTATCAGGAAATTTTTTTTGAATTTTTGAAAATTTTTTTTCATATATATATATATATATATATATATATATATATATATATATATTTCTTAACGTAGTGTAAAAATTTTTCCAACAGAAAAAATGTCATCGTGTAGTATAATTTTTATTTATATCAATTTCATTTATGCTATGAAAATATGTAAAATAATATTTTTTACGTTTCATTTAATTAATCATAGATTTCTCAATGTGTGTGACACACGTTGAGTTAATGACATCGATAATTTATATGAATGTATCATAATGAAATATGAAATCATTAGGCTAATGAATATGATCAATGCTACCTCTTATTTACATTATTGCTACGTAATATTCGTCACAATATCTGTCGAAATATTATTCTCATTACAATAACCATAAATATAGTGTAATACTACCTAGACGATGACATGCGTTAGACAAATCTATTCCTCTACACATTTCTTATACCTCGTAAAAATATGAATATTTCTCTTTTACATCGTCCCAACGACCGTTCTATGCCTTAAACTCTCGATTGTCATACAATATAACTGCAAATGTTACTCTCCTCAGACAAAACTTAAATTAACTTATAAGTGAAGGTTACGCGAATCACTCGTTTCCGGGAATTAACAATTCTACGCTAAGTTAGATGAAGCATATATTCAAATATATTCAAATATATTCGCGAATAAGCTCGTCTCCTTTCGATATTATCGTCGGTCTTATATGTGGTTAATTTTACATGGTAATTTATGAGTAATTTTACATGGCACTTTACATTAATCAAAATGGTATGGTTATTGTTAAAGATATATGTTTTTCTGCAAATGTTGCACTCGATCACGGGATAGAAAAATTTCTTCGCAGTTTTCTCGAGTTTTCTTTTGCCCGCGCATCGATCGATGCTCTGCAAAGCAGCCATCAACGACGCTGCTCGACCAACAGCACCCATTACTTTCACACGCTTCCGCGAGAAACCGTAGTGAAGGTGCACCGAACGACCTTACCTTATTTATCAAGATCAAGAGCAGCTTTTCGCGGTCGGAATTAAAACGATCCGCCGTCATTAACGCTGTGCAATTAAGCGTAAAATATTCAAGCGAGAAACGCTTCAAATAAAATGTCAATATTACATAAACATAAAACGTTATTATTATTAAACTGATATAAAAGATTTATCATATGTTACTTTCCCTTTTTGTTTCTTAAATTAATTTATATAAAACAAAATTCAACAAGATAGATTTTAATACATTTTTCTTTTCTTGTTTACTGGCCTAGAAATTCTTTAAATTCCTTTAAAAAAAAAAAAAATTTCTATTCAATATAATTCGCTAGAAGAATCTTTTACAGTTCGATTAAATTTAATGTAATTTATTCTTTTTTTTTTTCTTAATTTATTTTATCATTATACTGTAATAAAAAATGTTAACAATAGTAATAGCATATCGAAAATAAATCGAAAACAAATTATATAGGAGATGAAAAAACGAGTAGCGTCAATATTTGATTAAGTAATTTGATTATACAAGTATTGTAGATCAAAATGATCTGATCATCGATCGCACACGAAATGCATGGCAATCAAATCGATGGCAATTCATGATTCAGATAAAGAGCTTATATTTTATAAGAAGTAAGAGGTTACATCCTTAAACACCATCCAGGACAATCACCATTCGTGTGACGTGCTCTATAAAAATCTCATTTGCGCTCACCGCGGATTATCGTTTTTTTGGTCGAGCCCTTTCTCAATCCTTTCACTTTCCCTGTTCTCTGCCATCTTTTGATTCCCTTCTTGCCTGATTACAACCGTAAGCGGCATCTGAGTGCACAGAGTGCAGACGGCGCGATCATGGAGAACGGTTGCTTTCTCGACTTTCAAACGTTCAACCGGTCATCGGTCTTCTAGTGAAAGTAACCGGAACGAGAGAGGATGCGATCCTCACTGGTGACCGTGATCTCTCGCATTACTCTCTTCAGGTGTCGGACAAGCCGGCTGATTTTTAAAGTCGCCTTCGCACGACCGCTCGACCGTGGAAATGGCGCGTGTTTCCGACCTGTCGAGATTTAACGGCTGTCGTTGATATTTATTACCGCAATCGATTGTTATTTTTGCAAGAAATATTGCAACCACCATTGATGCAGCAATTGCCGTTATGGAAATTTATTTCCATTCTTGCTACAATAAAGATATGTAAATATTGTACATATTGTTAAATGAAAATATTAAATTTGTTAATTGTTAATTAAATATCCTCTAGATAATTCTGGGATTGATTATAATTAAAAAAAGAAAAAGATATAGCTTTAATATCATATCAATATTAATTAAGATTATTTTTTTTTTTGTTTAGTTCTGTTATTGAACTATTTGTTTAATTGTAAATTGTTATTTAATAATTTATATGTAAATATAATAATTATTATATTTATATATTTATATATTTATATATAAATAATTAACAAATAACAAAAAGTAAAAGTTAATAATTAAGCAACCTTTTAATTAATAACATAAATTAATTGTCAAATTGAGAAGCTGTGGAAATATCATGGGACATTAATTATTATTTACAAACTTGCTTTAGACACCATATATATTTATTATTTATAAATTGCAAATATATTAATATATAACATTTCATATTTAAATAAACATCAGATATGCGTAATATATAACTGATAACGATATATCGGAAAGTTATTCCTCGTCCTTGAAGAAATCAGATTACATAGATGACAAAAATTATTTAATTAACAAAAATAATTGAAATATCCGTCATGTAATACTAATTATATTCAGAGATTTTTTTCGTAATAAAATATTTTTATTCCTTCCTTGCAATTTCTTATATTTACAATTTTAGACTTGACTGTATAATTATACGTAATATTTTAATAATGTTTGTGAGAATAATATTCTGTTCTATGAAAGAGCCTCTAAAACAATTCTAATATCATTTATATCTATGCAATCTTAGAAATGACATCATCATATTATTACACACATAAATCTTAGGTATTTGAAACTGTAACGATACGCAATGTCATCCACTTCACATATATACATATCTTTTTCCAGAGCTCTCGTGCAATCCTTCAATTACAAATTCTTTAGTAAATATAAAATTGAAATTTATTTAAAATTTAAAATATTATTGATACTCGACATTTAAAATAGTAATTATTACTGAATTCAATTTGTAAAGAACAAATAATTATTTAGAATAACGATTTTTAATTAGAAAATAAAGTTTTGTTAAGTAAAAAATTTTTTTTTCACTCCTTTATAACAAAAAAGTTATTAATATTTTAATTTTTAAACAATCTTATTTAATGTGTAAATATTCTCTATTCTTTTATCATACTTTCATTTGACTTTGAAAGTTTGCACCATAATTATTACAATCTCTTCCCATTCCTAAAATCATAAAATATTTAATAACTCTGTAAAAACGATAGGTTCAGAACATAAAATTGTGAAAAGATGTAAAAATGTAAAATATAAAATTAGGAATATCCAGTTCTTGAAAATTGTTAGTGTTTACACAGACATGTTAACTTTTCTCTTTTAATTAATATTATATATTTTTTAAATAAAATAATATGTGTATAAATAATCTACATGAAATGGAGACGTAACTTGAAATGTCTAATATTTTACAAACTCAAATGTATATTTCATTTCTGTTTAAAATAAAGAAAAATTTGTTAGAGTATTAAAATATTTCCGTAACTTCACATCACTCTCTCATGTTCAATAAATGTGATCACTTAATTTCATTATTATTATTATTAACTTTCATTTTTTTTCAAAAATAAATGTAAGCTTAAATTATTAACAGAATGACATTATTGAGCAGCCAATATTATAAAACATGTATTTGGATTTAATTTATTATTTTCTCATTTATTAAAATTATTATTTTACGTATATGATAAATAAGAAACGCACATACATATATATATACACATACATACATACACATACACACATTCTCTCTCTCTCTTTCTCTCTCACCTTTTCCCCTCAAAAATAAAAATATAATAATATAAATGTAAAACAATTCTAAATAATATTTGTTATCATTTATCAAATATTGACTTTTTTTAGGAGTCTCTTTGTGATTGATTCACATGACTAATTTACATAATCAAAATTGATCTAGGCTGATAGAAAAAAATTCTCGCATGAGAGAGTGAATGTAAACTAAGTGAGAGCTCTAAACTTATCAAAATATGGAATCCAAGAAATCCTAATAAGTAAAATTAAAAGTATTCCGTCAAGCTACTAAGAGAAGAAAATTACACTCATATTTACATAAGTGTGTCATTATCGCGCATACTATTGAATATTTGTGCATACGAAAAATTGAGACTCTTTGGAATCGATATGATTTGATTCAATTCAGATCTCGACTCCTCGAGAGAGGTACGTGAAAATGACCTCTACATATTTATACGTTCGTGGCAATACGAGTGTACATTTTGCCGTGTCTGCGAAAAGGAAAAAAACTAAATTCATCAAAATCACATCATTTTTAGAACCTGATCGAGCGTATAATTAGAAGCATCAATGGCGTCTGATGCATCAACATGAATTCACGACACGAGGTGAGGTTTATCGATACTTTTGGGTCCTTTTACAAAATAAAATAGTGGAGTTATGTAAATGAAAAAAAAATAAATATTTCTTAAGTATTACAGAAAAATTTGAGCGCGCACGCGAATCGGATGGCATTAATGCTCCTACATGTACCCCTACATCTATCCATGAGCGCTCTGTGCGATTCCTGCGCTAGCTGGCACACCTCCGAACGACAATATTTGATACGGGGAGTTTTGTGTGATGGTCATCGTTCTGAAGTCGTATGTCGTCGGGTCCCCGTGATCTTCGCGCACGGCATAGCCCTGCTTGGCTTGCGCCAAATTGGTGACCCAATTGACACCGCCGGTCAGACCGCTAAAAGCGGCACCTGGCAGACCGGTCGAGAAACCAGCGTGCAACTGTTGGGGAGCGGCAATCGCTCCGGTCGTCACGAAGTTGGTGCCAGAGGATAACATGTTCGGCCAGGTCTTGGTAAGCTCCTCCAACTTCCTCTGGTACTCGTCTAGGGACACGGTGTCCCGCAGTACAATGCCGTCTTTGTTACCAGCAATAGTTGCCGGTGGTATGCCAGCCGGTAGTATCACGGCTCCCTGCGCATTGACGATGGAAGTGGGAATGGTAGCGGAAGTGGGTACAGAGGCCGCCTGAACGTACGCAACTGAAGATGTGTCCTTGGACAGATTTTCGGTATCCTTGTTATTCTCTATGATGCTGCTAAGGGCCTGCTGGTTCCTCAGGCTGAGGTCCTTCTCGATCGAGCGGGTGCCGTAGTACTTGTTCACGCTCTCCTTCAAGCTGCCACGCAATTCACCTCTAGCGGCGTTCTCCATGTCCGAGAAGTATGAATCTACCTGCGGATTGTCGTAGGAATGCGTCGCCGATGCTGTGTATTCCTGACCTACCGATGTGAAACTGGTCGGCGGATAATCTGGAACAGCCGGTTGGCGCGCGTAAGCGCCGGCGTACCTGGAAAAGGAAAGAAAAAGAAGTTGCTTGAATCGTATTATAGGAAAAAGTAATCACAGGTGGAAACTAGGGTAAACATAGATAACCGGTCAACCGATGAGAATTAATTAGTATTAGATACCGTTCGATTATTTCGAATATATCGTTATTATATGTAATTTCTGTAATCACAATAATTTACTTTTGAAAGTTAAGATGTCTATCTGCAACAGAAAAATATTCCGTAACGGATTTTTAAATTATTTGTGTGCGAATTCAAAAGTGACATCTATATGAAAATTTTTTTAGAAAAATTACGTAACTTAGTTCTAACAGGTAACAAGAGAAGTAGGGAAGAGAGAGAGAGTAGAGTAGAGAGAGAGAGAGAGAGAGAGAGAGAAAGGAGAAGACGTCCTTGTTATTATACACACTTATTATTATAAAAAATGTATAGTATAATCAGAAAGATCAATGGACATAAATTGAGACAAATATAGTAAATATAAAAATCACCTGTCACGCACAAGCGGCAAACTGTTACTTTTGATGCCGTCATACGGTACATATCCTTTGCCAAAAGAGAGGTTGTGACTAACATCTTTGCCGTATGGTACGTTTACATGATTTACACCTTCATGACTATGATCGAAGTTGTCGTGCCCCCCGTACGGCAACGGCCGAAATGGTTTTTTGTAACGATTAACGTGACCATAATGTGCATGACGATGGAAGTCATTTCCACCGTAAGATGACTTTTTATAATGACCTGGAGGTCGCCAAGGTACCGCTGGACTCCGTCTTACTTGTCGAGGCACAATTACTACCACCTTTCTGAAATGGCATAATTAAGGGAAACATAGGAAAAGATACTTAACTTTAGAGTATTATTTGATTCATTTATTTTAAAAAAATTTCTTAGTTTATTAGTTATTTAATAATATTACATCGATCAATTTCCTCATCAAAATTGCAATTTTTAAAAATCTCTAATTAATATTATCAGTAAAAATTATAAAAATTGAATCGTTTAGAAAATCATTTTTAAATCAATATCTCTTAAAATAGATTTACTAATTGTGAATTTATTACGAGTGTTTTTATAATTTCATAATGCAACATTTATTTAAATATGATAATAAGATAATATAATTAATGAGTCAACACTTTCCTGTATCTTAATATTAATCTAATTTAATCACGTAGTCTTAGTATGGCACGAATACTCACGCGTAAGTAAGAAGAGACTCGCTGATGGCCAGCAGCAGAACGCAGAGAGCCTGTGAACATTAATTGCTGATTAATGATCACAATGATAACGAGCGTAAACGATGATACGCTGAAACGAGATAAATCAACTGTCTATTAAATTCAGGGGGGCTTTCTTACGAAAGTTTAGTTGCATGAGGAATCACATTTATGGGATTTACATACACTGAGGCACGCGATCGTGATACGCTAGGATTGTCATTGGTGTTTGGTTTATGGTTGCGGATAGCATAATTATCTAAACCTGCGGGCCATTATCAGCCTCGCCTCTTCCTTCACTCAGTCGTACTTTCATAAGTACTTTGATAAGTATGTATTAAGACTCTCACACGATGAAAGTTAGCACTTGCTTTTAAATCGCATCATAGAAGATAGAAATCAGTTTAAATCCAGATAAATTGTTCTTTAT